TCATTCAAGGCAGTGATAATTTGGAGTACTTATTCTTATCTTCTATAGCTAGAGGTCTAGTGATGCTCAGTCAAGTTGAAATAAGGGAATGCAAGAGGATGAGAGAGATTATTGTTACAGAGAATGCAGAAGAAAAAGAGAATTTAATTTTTCCTCAATTGAACTTCCTATTGCTAAAAGACCTTCAAAACATTGTTGGATTCTACTCAGGGAATTGTATTGTTGAATTCCCATCCTTAAAGCAACTGCAAGTATTGAACTGCCCAGAGTTGGAAGGATTCATTGTTAAATATTTTGCAAGCACAAATGTCATTGCTGACAAACAACCATTCTTCAATGAACAGGTAAATTTTACTCATTTCACATGCATTTTGTTTTCGCATTAATTTAAGGAACTAATCTAAATGTGGCATGATGCGTTCGTTATGTAGGTTGCTTTTCCCAACTTGGAAAATCTGACTCTCACCCACTTGAAAAACTTGGATATCATATGGCACAACCAACTCCATGCAGATTCCTTTGGCAAACTAAAATCATTAACGGTTGGAAACTGTGAGAAACTATCCATTGTTTTTCCATCTGCTGATATGCTAGGAAGAATATGGAAATCCCTAGAGAAGTTAATTATATTTTTCTGTGGCTCGCTCGAAGTGGTATTTGGAGTTGCCGAGTTCAATGTCAAACAAACACATGCTATAATAGACACCAAGTTGAGAGAATTGAATATTGGTGATCTACCAAGATTGAAGTATGTGTGGAATAAGGATCCCCAAGGGATACTCACTTTCCACAGCCTGGAATCAGTAGTGGTACTACGCTGTGACAGACTCAAAATTTTGTTTCCAGCTTCAATAGGCAAAAGCCTTTCACAACTTCAAAAGCTACACTTACATAAGTGCGGGGTGAAGGAAATTGTCACGATGGGAGAACAAGGAGCTAAAGCAGTTGTTAACTTTGAATTTCCTCACGTATCTAGTCTTAAGCTTGAAAGGTTATCAAGGCTCCAATATTTCTACCCAGGGAGGTACACGGCAGTGTGGCCAAAATTAAAACAGTTCTGTTTTTCCAAATTCAATCAAGTAAGGAGAATAGATGGTCATGGGCAACTTGACTTTCCTGTACAACTACCACTTTTCTCCATAGATAAGGTACAAAGCTTCTTACCAAAATAAATAATAAAAGAATTCCTTGCTTCAAATATATATATATATATATATGTAATGGAATGAGAGTAACTATACATGGAAATAATATTGAATTGCAGTATTAATTACTTGTTTAGTATGACCTGAATGCTTTTCTTGATGAAATATTGTTTGTGTGACAAATGCATGTGATAATTCCAATTATTTCCTTTATTTTGCCATTATTGTTTAAGAATCTTTCTGTTATTAGATGTTAGAGTATTTGTTATGTGAATATGTGATACAACTAGGCTTGTCACCCAAAAATGCAATATAGAGCAGTTTTATTCTTTTTTTTTTAATCAACAAAGAAAAGAGTTGTTTTTATTCAATAAGTAATAAAAGTGCATTTGGTTGCCATGTGAAATAATGCACAATATTTTTTAATAATTTTCTCCTTTTCATAAACAAAATTAAGATCTCATTAAGGAAAAGCATACAACTTACATAGAAGTTTTATTGCATTGGATTCCTTTCCAGATCATCCCTCAGTTGGAAGATTTGTCACTAGCAAGACATGACATTGCAGTGATATGTGAACACCAATTTAAAGAAGACATCTCTTTCAATATCAAAGTTCTTCAAATTCATGACTATCTTGATGATGAATTAGATGTTTTACCCATCAGATTACTACAGAGATTCTGCCATCTAGAAGAGCTTATCGTGGAGTTTTGTAATTTTAAAGAACTGTTCCCTTCAAAAGGAGAAGTTGAAGAACAAGAGAAACACATTGAAATTGAAACACTCTCAAAGATTAAAACATTAAATCTAAAGCGCCTTCCATATCTTAGATGTATATGGAGCTGTGACTCGTCAATTGTTCTTCAAAATCTTGGAACTCTTCAAGTTTTTAGGTGTGAGAGTTTGATTAGCTTGTCAACATCACCTGCCTTTTTCCAGAATCTTGTAACTTTGAATATAAGCAACTGTCAAGCAATGGTAAACTTGGTTTCAATCTCAACAACCCAAAGTCTAGTGCAGTTAGAAAGAATGACAGTATCAAGTTGCCACATCCTGACTGAAATAGTTGAAAATGAAGGAAATGGAACGCAAGATTTGATCATGATCACTTTTACTAAATTAAGATTTTTGAAACTTGAAGGCTTGCCAAGATTAGAAAGCTTTTGCTCAGGGAATTTCACCTTCAAATTTCCATCTTTGAAAATGCTAATTGTGATTCAATGCCCAAAATTGATGATCTTCAATGAGGGTGACCTAAACACACCACTACTGCAAAGAGTAGAATTAATTGAAGGAGAGGACAAGTGGCGTTGGGAAGGTGACCTTAATACCACCATACAAAGAATGTATATGGAAGAGGTATGAATTGATTTCTAGATATTTTTGAAGCCACTCATTCTCTTTATAAAAAATTATTTGATTTATTTATATTTTGTTATACATAACTGCCTTTTTTTTTTTCCTTTTTTTTGGCACTTGCATAGGTTGGATTTGTTGGGTTACAAACTTTGGTGTTGTCAAATTTTCCCAAGTTGATGGAAACATGGCATATCAAGAATCCTCAAGAACTCTTAGATTTTAGACAACTTCAAGTGCTGGAAATTTGTGATTGTAGCAAGTTCAAGTACCTATTAACGGATTCAATGGCCTGGGGCCTTGTGCAACTCTTTCAGTTAATAGTAAAAAATTGTGGAACAATGGAACAAGTGATAATGGGAGAAGGAGCAAAATATAAAATGGAATTCCCACATCTTTGGTTGATCAATCTAGAGTCTTGTTCAGATTTGACAAGTTTCTATGTGGGAAGTCATAGTCTTGAGCTTCCAAGTTTAAGTGATTTTATTGTAAAGGATTGCTCAAGGATGGTCACATGTGCTGCTTCTACATCCTCAGAAGAGCATGACAAAGGGGAATATCAATACCTCCTTAGCAGCAAGGTCAGTTTCTTTTCTTCTTTTCCCTTTTCTTTCTTTCTCTTTTTCGTTTTTCTTTCCTTTTTTTTTTTTTACAGCAACATGGTTTATTTTTTATATTTATTTTTTTGAATTAAGATTTTACAGGATATTTATGTTTGTTTTTCGCATGTTGGTGTTTCCATCTCTAGCTACCTCTTTAACCACATGAATGAATGTCCCCAAATAAGTTTCACTTAATATACGGTTAGAAAATAAAGATTCTTGGCTAGTACATCACCATTTAAAATGTGAAGTCACTCAAGTTTAAAAATAGAATTATTGATCCAAATAATATTTTTTTTCTTTTTTATCCTGCATTGACCCAAATAATGTTTAAGTCTAAAAAGAGTTGGCTATTTTCTAATCAAAATATCAATTTACTTCACATAATTGCACGTCATTTTCATGTTCTTGCTTTTGGATTATCCTTTAATCAATTAAAAAAAAAAAACTTTTTCATGAAGTTTCTATTAGGTTGAGTTTTTCTCAACTTGGAGTTTCTGAAGTTGTTTTCAATTAAAATTAAGCAAATATGATAGTCATCTTCTTGCTGTTTTATATTAATAGACTAACTAAGAATCTTTGCAGGTAAAGACTCCTAACTTGAAGTTTTTGAGTTTGTCTTCAAATAACATTCAAGGAATTTTGGATAATTCGATTCTAGAAATCTCTTCTTATGTCCAAAATTTAAGAAAGTTGTGTGTGGAGGGTTGTGGTAATTTGAAATATCTATTGACATCCTCCATGGTTAAGAGTTTTGAGCAATTGAATTGGCTCAAGATTTGTGATTGTAATATGATGGAAGAGGTAATACTTGCAGAAGAATCAATGGATGAGGAAAGGATGTGCAAGATTTTCTTCCCTCACCTGGAGTTCCTACTGCTCCAAGACCTTCCAAAACTCACAAGATTTTGTTCTGGAAATTACTTGGAATTACCATGCCTTTGGAAACTTAAGATAAGCAAGTGCCCTGTATTGAAGACTTTCATCTCTAGCTTCATTTTTGGAGACATGACATCTGGTTCTGAAAATGTCAAAAACACTTGTACGCTTTCTCTCTTTGATGCAAAGGTGATATCTCCTCTATTTTTTGCTTTTTAATGTCTTATAATGCTATTATTATTTTCTTAAAGTTTTACGTTTGAAAAAAATTAGATTCCAATATTTTCATTCCATTACATCTATAATTATATTTAATTTTAATTGAATTGTGTAAATCTTTAGGTGGCATTCCCCAAATTAGAGCGTTTGGTAATTGAACATATAAAGAGCTTGAATAAGATATGGAAAGATCAGCTCGAAGTAGGTTCTTTTTGCCAACTAACTTCGGTGAGTGTGGTTTCATGTGAAAAGTTATTGAATATTTTCCCATTTAGTATGTTGGAAAGGCTTCAAAGACTAGACAAGCTCCAAATATGGAACTGTGATTCACTTGAAGAGATACTTGAGTCTCATGAACCTATTGTTAGCCAATCACAAGCTCAAAAGGCCACTCCGCCACCTTTGTTTGAAACCGTTACATGCTTGGAGGGTGATGTGAAGGATGAGATTGTCTTTAACAAACTCAAGTATTTGCAACTTTGTGGTCTGCCTAGACTTTCAAGCTTTTGCTCGGTTAAATGCAAGTTTGAGTTCCCATTTTTGGAAGATGTGATTTTGATGGATTGTCCAAGTATGCAGACTTTCTCCATGGATGAAATAAGAACGCCAAAACTACAGAAAGTAAAATTGACTAGAGATGAAGATGAAGGCTTTTGGGATGGCAACCTAAACTCGACCATACAACTACAGTTCATGCAAAAGGTATGCATTAATTCGAAAGATCTCCTTAGGTTTTTCACTTTTTAAGTTCTATCTCTTTTCCTTTTTTGCATGAATCTTTATTTAGAGTCTTCAAAATAACAAGAAAAACTAGAAAGGCATGTATGAACACTTAATAGATCATGATTTTAAAAAGGAAAATTTTTGCTACAATTTTTCCTTTCACTGTCAGTATTGTGTTGTTGTTATGTCTACAGAGTCAAGGTGATTCTGAAAATTGAGATCAAAGAAATTGTGGCTCATGTCCTTTCCAAGTGAAATTTGATGGTGAGTTGGTCTTATGCTTCCATCATCTCTACACTTGTTTGATAAAGGTACATCTCTTGTAAACATGCATGGAGGTATATTGAGGCTGCTTGCTTAGTTCTTTGCAGGTGTAAATGGTGTATGCATAAGTTGGATGTGAAGTTGTCACACTGCTAATTGGTGGCCAGAATGTTACCTCACCAACTAAAATTGATCCCTTTTTTCTACAAAAAAAAAAAAAAAAGAAGAAAGGAAGACGGATATTTTCTATTTCCCAAACTCATGTGCAACTTGTAATATGTATTATTAAATTCATGCAAAGACTTTAAATTTATGGGTTGTTTTATAGTATTGAAGAGAGAATATCCTTCAAGAAAACAAATGATGCTTTCTTATATATACTTGTATGATAAAAGTACATTTCTTATACATATGGAACCATATATACTGAGAGGTTGCTTTCTTAATTCCTTTAAGGTCTGAATGATACACTCATAAATCATAAGTTGAATATGAACTTTACAAAGTTGCCACATTGCTTGGCACCTAAAATTAAATTGTCTGTTGTTTATGATGTTTGTAAGACACAGAAAGTATTCAAAAGACAAATGTTACTTTATAATTATCAATTGGGTTCAGATGTAGTTTGTTTTTAATTAGAATATGGTTTGTTCATTTTGATGGGTTTGCCATATTTTTTTTCTTTTATCGACAAAGCAAACCATAATTTTAAATATAAATTTTAACCTTCACATGCCAAACAAATTTGGGTGCCTCGGGTGTTTCCTTTTTCTTTTGTGATACGTAGATCCCCGGGAGGTTCACATTTTTTTTTTTTTTACTTTGTGTGTGATAATAGACTACACAAGATGAGACAGATTGAGCCACTTTACATATTGGAGATGTGCATTTGCATTCTTAAAGCAAACTCCTTTCCTTATAGATGATTCTTTAAGTGATATTTGGTATCAATGGATGAGCTTCCACTCCCTGCAGTTTCCCATTTAACTTCTAGATGTAATTTGATCTAATGCTTTTTACACAGCAAATGATTGAGAATTACAAAAAAATATTTCTTTTCATACATAATTCTTTCATGCATATCAATTCACACACAATCATGCATGATTACCAGATGAGACTGAATCTGGATACAATTGTGTGAATCATGTTTCCAGCATCCTCGAATTTCTTGCCAACTTAATATCAAGCCGTCAAAGCAGAAAATAAAATTCAAACTCATTATATTAATTCTCCTTTTAGATACTTAACTGAAAAATTGCTTGACATGCAAATTGGAATAGTAAAATCAACCAAACTTACATCTACAATAATACCAAATACCAAATACCAAACACAAATCACCAAGTAACAAATATCCCTCTTAACTGTCAGCCTTATGGTCTGATGATAGAATTACTTGTACTCTTAACCATAAGTTTAAGATTCAATTCCTAGTCTCTAGGTACCAAAAAACAACAAGTACCCCCTTAAACATGTTGATACAACCACATGACAAACTGTCAATTAACTTAACTGAGGAATGCTACTCCCCTATATAAGTCGGCTTACCTAAGCAAGAACAGTTTCGTATTCATTTTCTTCTTGGCAGCATTCATGCATCTAGTATCGGTCACGCCTGATTAAAAACAATGAGTAAGGTTCAAGAATAATCCTTATCAGCACAAAAAACTTTAAAAGCTTAAGGCACAAAACAAAATGTAATAAAAATAAGGCAGGCAAATATCTATCACTTGGTTTTGAGGTGAAGATCAAGATTCAAATCCAAGCAATAACTAACAAGTCATAATATAATTAGGTACTAAAGGAATGCCATCCCTTCAACAGTTCATCATAATTAAACAGTAGTCAAGATATTTTACAATTTAGATGAGATTAAAAAAAACTAGGGTTTTTTATGTGAAGAAAAACAGCATTAAAATCTACAGTACAGGTGTTCACTACACCCCTATTCCTTAAGCATGGTTGGTTCCAGGACTACTCAAGATTTACAATCATTTCTCTATACTGTATTCCAATAATAAGGGAAATATACTTGAAACAAATGATAGCACTCCTAAATGCTGAGTAAGATTCTTATCTAAAAAATGATCACAAAACAAAACTAATATGTTGTACAAGCATGGGATATTGTTAAACAAGTACCTGTGGTGATCATGATCCCTAGAGCGCTTCCTAGACCTTGAGCGTGACCAGTGGTGACTTCTAGAATCATAAGTCCAAGAGCACTCATAATCCCTATCACGATCTCAATCACTATACCTGTCATGATCTCTGCTCCTACAATCATAATCCCTCCCTCGGTCACGGCTATTCTCTCAGTCTCGGTCCCCA